TAACATCCACATGGGGGTTCCACGTAGCCGATGCAGCACACCGTGGAGTCACCATGCCCTCTGTCTGCCCCACCCCCTTTAATATCTCTAACGCTTACCCCATCCCTGCCCCCTCCTCACATTGGGAATTCCACGTAGCCGATGCAGCACGCCGTACAGTCACCATGTGTTCTGCCCTACCACCTACTTCATCTCTTGCCTGCACCCTATACTGGCGCCATGTCCTTTCTGTTGCGTCGTCCTCCAGCCCCTTAACATCCACTGCGTCCTCCCGCCCCTTGACATCCACATGGGGGTTCCACGTAGCCGATGCAGCACACCGTGGAATCACCATGCCCTCTGCACACCCTTTAATATCTCTAATGTTTACCCTCCTCACATTGGGAATTCCGCGTAGCCGATGCAGCACGCCGTGGAGTCACCATGTGTTCTGCCCTACCACCTACCTCGTCTCTTGCCTGCACCCTTTACTGGCGCCAGGTCCCTCCACATAGCGACCAGAGGAACTCCCTTCCTTTTGTCTCCCACTTCATCCCTCTTGCCTCCGCCCTCTACTTCTACCCCGTCTACACTGCCACAACCCCGTCCCTGCTGCATCCTCCAGCCCCTTGACATCCACATGGGGGTTCCACGTAGCCGATGCAGCACACCGTGGAGTCACCATGCCCTCTGTCTGCCCCACACCCTTTAATATCTCTAACGCTTACCCCATCCCTGCCCCCTCCTCACATTGGGGATTCCACGTAGCCGATGCAGCACGCCGTGGAGTCACCATGTGTTCTGCCCTACCACCTTCTCTTGCCTGCACCCCATACTGGCGCCATGTCCCACTGCCACCCCGAGTAAACCTTAGGGTCTCCGTTCCTTGTGTCTCCCACTTCATCCCTCTTGCCTCCGCCCTCTACTTCTGCCCCGTCTACACTGCCACAACCCTGTCCCTGCTGCATCCTCCAGCCCCTTGACATCCACATGGGGGTTCCACGTAGCCGATGCAGCACACCGTGGAGTCACCATGCCCTCTGTCTGCCCCACACCCCTTAATATCTCTAACGCTTACCCCATCCCTGCCCCCTCCTCACATTGGGGATTCCACGTAGCCGATGCGTAGCCGATGCAGCACGCCGTGGAGTCACCATGTGTTCTGCCCTACCACCTTCTCTTGCCTGCACCCTATACTGGCGCCATGTCCCACTGCCACCCCGAGTAAACCTTAGGGTCTCCGTTCCTTGTGTCTCCCACTTCATCCCTCTTGCCTGCACCCTCTACTTCCACCCCGTCTACACTGCCATGGCCCCGTCCCTGCTGCGTCCTCCAGCCCCTTAACATCCACATGGGGGTTCCACGTAGCCGATGCAGCACACCGTGGAGTCACCATGCCCTCTGTCTGCCCCACCCCCTTTAATATCTCTAACGCTTACCCCATCCCTGCCCCCCCTCACATTGGGGATTCCACGTAGCCGATGCAGCACGCCTGCCCTACCACTTACTTCATCTCTTGCCTGCACCCTATACTGGCACCATGTCCCACTGCCACCCCGAGTAAACCTCCACACAGGGACTCCGTTCCTGTGTCTCCCACTTCATCCCTCTTGCCTGCACCCTCTACCTCCACCCCGTCTACACTGCCATGGCCCCGTCCCTGCGTCCTCCAGCCCCTTAACATCCACATGGGGGTTCCACGTAGCCGATGCAGCACACCGTGGAGTCACCATGCCCTCTGTCTGCCCCACCCCCTTTAATATCTCTAACGCTTACCCCCTCCCTGCCCCCTCCTCTCCACGTAGCCGATGCAGCACCCCCTCCTGCCCCCTCCTCACATTGGGGATCACGCCGCGGTGTCCCCATGTGTTCCATGCCTTCTGTCCGCCCCACACCTCTTTTGTCTCCCTTCCTGGGGTCGGCGGCACTGGGCGGCAGCCCTTAATATATATACATTTTATAACACTCTTCTTCATCGTCTTTCCCGCGCCCTTTCCTTTCAACAAGAAACTCCAACTCCACCGCAGCTTTCCCGAAAGCTTGCAAGCAATTGCAAATCCGTCTCATACACGTTCATAGTTTATCTGGTGTTGTTCTTTTACTTCTGCCTTCGTTCGTTCCTTCTTTCCTTCCTTCCTTCCTTGTATATGTATTTCTATCCACCAGGCTTCAGCATGTAACCAGAGCCGCCAGCGCCACCCCAGTGGACAGTATCCAGCCTCGCCCCAGCCGTGTGACGTGGCACGGCCTTGCCCTTTGCAACGGGTACACCAAGCTGTCCCAGCGGCGAGAAACCAATGCCAGGACTGTCCCAAACCCAGAGAGGCTGCCTTCGAGAGCGTCGAAAGACCAAGGTCTCAAGCGTCGTTGTCTTGATCAAAAAGCCGCTGGCTCTTATATAGATACTCTTTCATAGAGAAAGGCTGTATGACGGTTGACTGTCGTTTGGGCGGAACATGGCGGAACTATCTACTGTGTATTTGCTTCAACCATGCATTGCATTACTACTTGAACCTTTCTCTCTCAAGGGCTGCGATGCAAGAACCATTGGTCAATGCCATCTACCTGAGGCACGGACTGGCGCTTTTCCGTGGTGAAGTCGTTCAGCCAATCTCTTCGCAGCAGTTGGACACTTTCAGGTGAAAGGAGTCGAATGCCATCCAATTCCCCGTTGTTCACCAACATGCTGAAGAATCTGCCACAGTCCCGAAGGCTGCTGACCTCAGTTGGATCTCTCCCGCTTTGGAGTTCGAGAAACACAGAGTGAGTGCATTGCCATGTATTTAAAAAAGAAAATGTCATGGAGTTCAGGAAATCACGCCGCACTATGGCAAGGTCAGGTTGCAAAGTTGAAGTCTGAGTCTAAAGTTTTCACGCTTACTTTCTGCCTGCGACGGTTTGCAGCCCAGCTGCAAGGCCGCCAGCCACGCTGCAAACGCAGCCACCTCCCTGGGTCACCTGCGATTGAGATTTCCACGAGAAAATGGTTGGCTCCCAGAAAAGGATAAGACTCGCAAAAGTTGAACGGTCTGGAGGTCTAACCCCTCAAAAACAAATCAGTCCGAAGTTGAAGGATGAAAAATACGATGTTAAAAGAGCAGCTCAATCTGGGGAGTCTTGGCCCACAATGAAGCGACCTTGCGAGGCTCGCTGGAGGTCACGAGGTCTGGGAGGCCTCAGCCTGTCCGGCCTGTCGAGTGATGGGCGCCCCTTCCAAAAAAACAGACCTCTTTGATGCCAGCACTGAGGAGCTGTCGATCTTTGGCAAAGCCAAAACACGCTTCTTCGCATTCTCCATCACTTGACTGCCGCCCACATCGCACGTCACAAAATTCACCGATTTGCCTGAGACACCATTGGCCATTGGAAAGAACCATGATCACACTAAGACTAAGATGTGAAAATGTTGACAATGTCAAAATGAGACTGCAGCCAATGGAGTCATGTCACTGCTTCCATGCCAGGGTTCTCGCTTGTAGAGCGCAGCTAAATCAACAGCCTTGTCAAGAGGCACCTGGAAAAAGGTCTCCGTTAGCTGCAGCTTCTCAAGGATCTCACATCGAAGAAATTCTTCCAATGGTCTTTTTGACACCACTTCCTTAGATATTCTTATCCTTTTCCCTGTTCTTTGCCACACTTTGGGTGCTGCATCTGACGCTTTATCAAGGCTTCAATGCAAACGACGAACGAGTCAAGGAACTTTGCGACCAAACAATGAGAGAAAGATGCCTCTCAACTTTGAGGAACGTCCGGTTGTGCCAACCACGAGAAACCATGTACCAAGCAAGCATAAGTGAATCGCACAACAAGGCTGAACAGATCAGCTTAGTGTCAATAAGGCGGCCAAGCACATCAGAGCTGTAGCCATAGCCCCAGTCTTTGCCAGGCTGAAACCTTGACAGGATTCTCAGACCTGCAAACCTTAGAAAATAAAGGAAAACAACATAAAAGAGGTCAAGAGAAGCAAGCTAAGCCCCTCCTTAAAAGGAGCCTTACCGTCTTTCATCTCCTTTCTCTCCCTTTAGGTTTTTTTTGAGAAAGGAGGACTTTGGGAGGTTCGTTGCGCCTCAAGGGCACCTGGGCAAGCTCCTGGCACCACTCTGCGAGGGATCGGATCTCCCCACGGTCGACCTGGCAGTGAATCCAAAGTCCAAAGAAATTCGAAGTAGATCTGATGAGTTGTAAAGAATGGATCTTGAGACAAAGTTGAAAGAACCCGCTTTACTGAAATCCGCCCGCACCGGAGGTGCTGGGCGTGTGTATCCGGATGGCATAGTCAATCGCAAGATTTCAGCTTTAGCTGGCCGGGAGCCTTTATCGGGCGAGAAACCTGACTTTTTGAAGGTTGTTGAAAATCGAATGCAAAAAACGTCGTAAATAATTGCAATTGATGAAGGATTTGATACTCGCAAACTTTGAGGCGTTCTTGAAAAAGTAAAAATAACAATATTAAAAAAAAATAAAATAATAGAAAAACATTTGTACTTTTTTGGATTTGGTCGAAAATAGCCAGGTAGAACCGGCCTTAACAAACACCAGCGGCTTCACGGTACGGCTCTAGCTCGCTACAGGTTCGTATTAGCCAGGTAGAACAGGGATGATGGGAATCTATGTATTTTTAGCACTCAGAGAATCTTTTGAAGAGCAGTTACAGTAGTCACAAGAATCTAGCCACCACCAGTGCTTGCAACCATACTATAATACTGCCCACACCGCTAATACCGCAACATTGCCACAAACATTTCTCCCGGTTCGGGCGGACCCAGCCGCATAGCGGCACGAATAAGCCGTGCCAGACGTGCCTTTTCCACCAAGGGAACATAGCTTACCTCGTAGTAATTTTCAGGCTGATAGCCAAAGCCCGGGCCGAAGCCAATGCCGCTGGTGTGCCCCAAGAGGTCCCGCACCAAAATTGGTCGGACCAAAGGAGCCCTTGACAAACAAACGTAAATGTTTTAGTTCACATATACTATATATGTATATATATACATATATTCCTTGCCCGCTTATCCTCGCTGGCTTTTCACCAAGGTCTTACACCAACTTAAATCCTGCTCGCCTTTAAGTTTTCACTGTCTTCCCCGTGTCACCATCTGTCTGTCTCTTTCCTTTGACTCACCTGCTGCGATCCCCTTATCACGGTGTTTCACCCTTGCTGTTGAACACCAGGCAATCAAATGGCGCTTGCTTGGCCATTTACACTGGTTCAAGGCTCAACCTAGCCAGACACTGACTCATCTGACAAAATGTTCAAGAACAGTGGACGGACTTCAGATCCTTTCAACTTCCAGCATAAAGAAATCACAAATAGCTACTAGTAGCGATGGCCTCCACCCTAGGCCCTAGTAGCGATGCCCTCCACCCTAGTAGCGATAGAAATAAAAACATGATCAAACAGCTCGCCAAAGCTCCTCTTGGCACCGACAACTGCAGAGCCAAATTCTGGCAAGAACTTGTAGATGGGCTCGTTCAAGTCAACCAAGCCTTGCTCACGGAGCATGAGGAAGCCAACCACCACAAAAGGCTTCCTGATATCGTAAATCATGGCTCAACTGTCAGCTCTGAAATTGTCACAACAGCTCTGGTGGCCAAGACTCGTCTGCGAATAGAGTCGGAAGAGTGTCTGCGGAAGCATGGGCTTCTCCGCAGCCAGATCTGCATGGCCATGTGCCTCAAAATGGATCATCAATCCCTCCTGCCAGGCATCAAAAGGCGAGACGAAAGACGAAAGTAGTCCAATTTCAAGCACGCCTTTCATGATGAAGAACGTCCTTTTCCTAGAATTCTAGGAACTAAATGAAGAGTGAGAGCAATCCTGCGTCCAGTTACTAGTAGCGTACCTTGTTAAGTAAGTAAGCGCCTACTTAATTAAGTAAGGCGGCATCAATAAATACATGAAAAAAAGCCTCCGAAGGGCGCTTCAGGGCTCCTTCAAGACTGAAGTCATGAAGCCGGGCAGGCGCCCTTGCTCCACTTGACGCTTTAGCTGCTGCACTGCAGCATCAAAGGGCCGCGTATCAAACTCCTTCGCGAGCTTTGGCGGGAGTGATGAGGCCGGGCAGGCCGCCGGGCGCTTGCGAAGGGCCATGGCCTAAGCCTTGAGCGCCTTGAGCACCTCGACGTCACCTCCGTGCATAATACAGTAGCTGCAGTGTGGGGGCTTGAATTGGAGATGGTGCAACTTGATGGTGTCAGTGATGGGTTGGGGGTACTGAGAGTCCCTATTTCCATATCCATACCTGTACAAAAGCTTCTTAAATTCTCCAACTGCCAACACTCAAACTGTAATCCACTTAGATTGGATCAGAATGTAGGTTTTGTGTGGTCTCGCTTATCACATGGCGAATCTCTGAGACTCAAAGCCTGGCAAGCGACTCAAGAGACAACAAGAAAGACAAGCCAAGTGTTCTCTCTCAGTGCAAAGTGTCCTCCAACCTACTAGCTTCTTTTTACTAGTAGCGATGGCCTCCAACCTACTAGCTGTTCTATTTCGCGGAGCTTCAGCAGGTCTTCAGACTTGCTCGTCTTTCCCCGAAGAACAACTTTGAGAGGAGTTGTCCTTCTGTTCTTATTTGGGCTATTTTTGAGGGAACAAATTGCGGCTCAACCAAAGAGGTGGAATTGAGTGGAATTATGCTGTGTCAAAGCACCTCGAAGCGATGGTGAAGAGCGACAGCCCTGCAGTGGCCTGAGTTGGAACATTCAACTTACAAAGCAAAATATACTGTGTACTGTGTATGTGTATATATATAAATATACATATCCTATAGGTGTATTAATTATATACGGTACTTATAAACAGAGGCTTGCTTTGTGTTCTTTACTGCCACTGGCATTGAGATAAGCCCTGGACTGCAGTTTCAGCCTGACCCTGGTTCTCTAATGCATGGTGGAGGTTACGTTTTCGCCATTGGTGCCACATCCAAATGACGCATGCAAGGGCTCAAGAAAGAAACTCTCCGCATGTTCCAAAGGCCGAATGGAAGCAAGAGAAGCCAAAGGTCGGAGTACTTTTGCGCCTACACATGCACCATACAAGGCGTATACCACCATGAAGTAGGTGTGCATGATGAACGAAATGTACATACCTGTGTTACTCTCCATACTTTGGTGGAATTCCCCTGAGAACGCAGCATACCTAGCGGAGGAAGCCAATCCATCCTTGGAATTCATCACTCAAATCCAAGCAAGGTGCCTCTGTAGTCTCAAAAAGAGAAACGTCCAAGGACAGGCAGTCTGGATGTGTTATTCTTGACTTGGACATCTTCCTATGACGCCTTTCTCTCCTGTTTGGGTCTATATATATATATATACATACAGAAAGACCCGATGGGATTCTCAGTCCACCGATTTGGCACCCGGGCAGCTCTCGCGGACTGCTCTGCTCACTGGCAACGCTCAGCCGTCCGAGTCCTTGACTCGCTCAGCAATCAAGCAACTTTCTGATAGAAAAGGAATAGGTGTTGCCTTTTGCTTGAGTTTCCCTAAAAATCTAGGAACCAAATCATCGCTTCTTCAAGGAAGCATGAGCGTCCATATGTAGTAGCTTAAGTAGCTAGGAGCGAACTTCTCCCTTAATCAAGTGGGCGGCTGCTTAATTAAGTAAGGAGGTAGGGCCATGGGCTTTAAAAAACATTGACATTCAAGAGATGTGCGGCCCCCAGCAGCGCTGAGCAGCGCGTTAATGGTAGCAATCTGACAGTCACTTGGAGATACATCTTCGTCCACACTTGGAGGGAAATCTCAGCAGCCCGCTCAACCGAGCTATACTTGCAGTAGGAAGACGCCCTCCAAATAACCATGCTGGACCTGGGGTCTGAACCTAAGGCTAAGGGTGTGAGCCGGCTGGAAGATGGGCGAGAGCCTCCAGGAAAGCAACAGGTTGGCTGCGATATCATATCTCTGTCTCTCAGTCTGTGCGAAAGAATCACATTTATGACCAAGCTTTGCGAGGCTTGACCTACAATGAATTGGATTGGCCTGCCATGACTGAGGACGTAGGGCGAGAGCCTTGGAAGTGTAGGACTTGGCAATGCAACACCGATCTTAAAAGGCGGTGGAAAATCTTGAGCTCCGAGCAAGGTCTCAAAGGCGCCACCCAGTCGCGGCTCACATGGGCTGGGGCAGTTCCTTCTGTCAGAATTCCACTCCAGTTCTGACATTCTGAGCATGCAAGGACTCCCCCATACCCGAAGGAATGCAATGATTCTCAATCACTTGAGCAAGAGTGCTGGGACAGGAGAATGTTTTTTTTAGTGTATACATTATGTATATATATATATATGATATATATATATATATATTTACTTTTTGTGTGTGTGCCTTCTTCGGCTGCAGGCCAAGGCCAAAGGAGGCCTGGGTAAGAGGTTGGTTTTTTTGGTCCAAGCGGCGATACTGAAGAGTATACGCCTATTGCGCCTACGCAATTTGGAGAGTATCGGGACTGGGCAAAACGTACTTTCTTTCAGATGCATTTTATGGCGAATCCGAGACCCCAATCGAACAGCTCCTCGCCATGGTTCCACAATTTTCAAGTCCTCACGAGACCTTATTCAAGACAGTGCTACTCTTGAAAGCCAAAATCCAGAATAGATAGAGTATATAGCTCTGAACATCTAGAACTGAGCTTTCAACTGGTGTGATAGTGGTGGAACTGGAGCCATGGTCGGCACAATTAGGAACAGTAGAATGCATGGAGTGTCCAGCTCTCACATGCAAGCTGGGGAAACTGCAAACTGCTTGTGCCAAAAGCCACATTGTGTCACTATGTTGTTGCTGTAACTGTAACTTTAAGCCCTCATGTTGTCGGACACACTACATGTGTCAGAACGCCAAGGGCTGGACTAGGCTGGGTTCGGGCTTGATTATTGTTTTGATCTGCCCATAAAGGCTATATTCTAAAAGCTTGAACCAAGAGAAGCAGGAAGGAACGATTCATCTGACAAGTTGTCGATGTGTCCAAAACTGTTTGCCATGCCAGGCCTTTAGGGCTGCTTTGCTAATGTCAACGTTCTTTTTTGAATTGTGAAGAGAGGGGGGTATCCTTTTAGAAGGAAGGCCACTTCGCTTCAGAGGTTTGCGTTCAGGTCTGTGACAAAAGACCTGTGACAGGATCCAAAAGCATTAAGAAAAAGTCTCAGCGATCCATTGCTGTTCGCAAGTCCACCGCGTTTTGAGCTGAGTGGTTGTGAAACCTCTTCAGATCAATAGTGGTAGCTGCTAGCACGCTTGGTGGTCACACAACCCACTTTCTATTCCGCACAGATATACTAGTTTTCTTATGTTTGCTTGATACCTGTTGCAAAGCGTGCCACAGATTTGACATCCACTGAAGTAAGCAGCTGCTGGTCGATGGGGAAAAAATTGTGGGCGGCAAGCTGACAGGCAAAGGTGTCGATGAGCATCGTCCAGCCTCCCCTTCAGTGACAGCACAATTTCTTGATCTCCTCCTCTAACTGCAGCAACGAATCCTGCGGAGCACAAAGCAGTGATTGTTAGGCTCCTGCCGGACTTGACAAGCGAACTAAAAACAAGAAACGGAGATGATAGGAATTATTCACTACATACGGTTCAATCTGTCACTATGTGTCACTGAGACATCCAGGATCCATGCAAATTCATCACTTAACTCGGCCTCTTGAAGGCCTGGACCCTCATAGGGCAGGTCAAAAAGCTTCACTTGAGCTCCCTCAGTGGCCTCAAGGCCCCGTAGGTCTCGAATCGAAGTCTGTCTAGTTCTGTTTGGTTCTGTGGACCTTTATATAGACCTTTTAGACCTACTAGTAGTTTCTTGTCACTCGATGCCAGGAGCCCCTAGTAGCGTCCTTGCTCCAGTAGCGATGCCAGGAGCCCCCAGTAGCGTCCTTGCTCCTAGTAGCGATGCCAGGAGCCCCTAGTAGCG